ATGCGAGCTCGATTTGTATTTGCAGGGTGGCCGAAAGTGGGACCATGACTAACTCGCTGTTTTAACTCATTACTTTAGGTTCTGTTTTCTCTGTTTTTAATCGTGGGTGGGTCAGCACTTTAAAGAACCTATGGGTCATGGTTTCAACATGCAAAGGCAAGACTGGCGAAATAAGTTTTAACTTGTTGCTGCAGAACTTAAACAATATATACTGGAGCTGTGCTTTTAAGGTATCGACGGGGCTAGTGTTTCACCAAGCAAGTAGTTTACTTTACTTGATCCTCAGAACCCAACACAAGTTGTAATATATTAGACTGAGTTCCTAAACGCCAAAATGTCTTAACACTCAGCTCTCTTCGGAGGCTATTCCCCGGAAGTAATCATTTTCGACTCTGCACGCACATCTGGGGCTCGCAGTTAAACTCGTCGGTCGAGGGAAAAGGACCAGGTAGCCACTGTCCAAAAGCAAGGTGGCGTAAATTTCTGTTCCTCATACGCTCTGTCCTCCTGCTGCATTCGGTCTCTGATCTCTGTGCCATCATCAAGCACGTCTTACAATTTTTTCATATCGTTCGAGAACGGTGGGTCTAGGCACTGACGCGGATTACACTATAGTACACTAGGTTGGACTAGGATCCTCGAAACGGTGCTCCATACTGTATCCACAACCAAGTAAAAGTACAGTAAAATTCCGATCTCCCAAAGAAGCGGCCACCCTCCGTTTTTAGGATATCCATAGCTACTACGCGGATGACGCTGAGCAGCTCCATTATGTCACCGAGTAGTTCCAGTCCTGGCAGGGAGCGGGTTGCAGCATGGTATCTGATGACTGCAGCATTCGGACTGGAGTTGCACTGGTGGCCGGTGGGGCATTCGCATCCAACTTATAGCACCAACGGGTACACTGCCTCCGTAACAGAAAAGTACCACCAAAGTCTCGGGAGCTTACAAAGAGACAACCGCACGAATGTTCTTGCGCATCTGTCCAGAATGTGCAGCACTCCTGGCACTCCAAACAAAGGGCCCTAAAGAAGCATTCCCTATCTCACAAAAGCCATCAGACTCCCCAAACAAGGTAAAGTCTTCACCAAGAGATAACACTAAGGAATCAGAGAAAAGGTTGGGTCTGTATCTATGCCCACATCATCGTGCGCGGAGACCACCTTAGGTCAGGCTTCTACATTTCCCACCAGGCCACGGCGAACATCAAGCGAGCGGAGAATGACACCGCCTGCCGGGCACTTGGCGAGAATAGCCTCGACAGTGTAGACGCTGAGACCGACAAACAACTAGAAGCAGTGCTTAAGGAGCGTACTGTGAGATCAGGCATGTCACGTGTAGTGAATGCAGGCGATGGAAAGGCCAATTCGACCATCTCGTACAAAATACATGTATCAGGAGAGTCGCTATTGGTCGAGCCAGAAAGGTTTGCAGTCAAACGTGGGCCAACCACTATTAGATTTGGGACTCACTGCTCTCTCTGCGACACTAGCTTTTCTGGAGGTAACCGGGCGCCGTGATACAAGCCACCACCCTGGGGATAGTTTTGGATGCCGTAAAAAGCCTAAGACTCGGTTCTTCATTGGCGCCAGCCGGACACTGCCAACACCTGCGAGATCTCGGCCAAGCCTGCCGAACCACGGTCATTGTAGGGGAAGGAGAGAAAATCCCCACTTGAAAATCCACAAAGAAGCGTCATTTTGGTTGCAGATGGGATATCGGAGCCACCAAATGAACGCTTTACTTAGGAATGGCACTTCCATCGCTTCCAACAGTGGCAATGGCCTGCAGATAAAGTTGGCCTCAACGATATGCCGGTTAACGGCATCTGGAGACCGTCAAAATCAGCTCATATGACGTCCAATTCCACTTCTAGGCCGCTCGGCATTCAATCTGACTAACGTGCCTCCCTAATAGATGTTCTACGTGTGTGGCATAACGTGAAGGACCATATGAACGGCTGGATACGCGTGTGCAAGAATGAGTCAGGACCCACCGGGCTAGAGGAGAGACGGCAACCACCAAGACTTTTGGAGCCAGTAATTATCATATGAACGAAAGTCAGCCAGCCAGGCGCATTGACTTTGAAACCCTTGCCACTGCGTCGCCCCCAAAGTGGAGCGAAGCGCCAAAAAAAGGGGCCATGACACTTCTGGTAGGGACCGGCAACCCCAGACCCAACGACGTGAGTGCCCTCCCACAGAATTATGCAGCCAGTCCTCTCTGCTCATCAGGCACAACCTGGCATATGCATGCAACAACGTTAGTGACTGAGAGACGAGGACGCCCCACGAACACTCACACTGACATCATATTTATAACCGAATCCTGGCTCTCATTGGATATTTTTGAATTTCACCGGCATGAAACTCTTCTGTAGGGACACGGAATGCAAAGCGATAGGCGAAATGGATCTTTACGTGGGCTCCCGTCCAAAGGAAAGAGTGATCAGTGACTCAGCGGCCATCCAGCTGCCGGAATCGTTATGTTGCCGTTTCACCCTTCATCGCATCAAACACCTTCTGTGGATCATTTATCGGTCTCCCGCTAATTCTCCTGCTCATAAACAAATGGTGATCCAGGCGGTATTTGTGACCTACCATACAGACTACGACTTCGTAACCATTTCCGGTAACTTCAACACTCCGTCCATCTTCTTCGAGACAGAAGGGGGGCACACGAAATCCTTCATCCAGAGACTGAAAAGTAGAAATAAGGCTACTGATCCCTTAGATAAAGTGGTTAAAACCACACGCTAGGGACCTAACAAAAATGAATCACACTTGGACTACCCTATGGCGAACGATAATCCTTTCGTGGACAGCATATGTATCCAGCCATTGCTTGATCTCAGTGATCATGCAGTAGTAACCTTCTCCGTGATAACTAAGGTGACTCTAAAACCAGAGAAACCTAACAATTTTCCCCGCCATAGGAAGGCCGACAACGAGACCAAGAGGGATTGTGCTGTCTTTCTGGATTTTTGACAGCGTCCTGCTTCACAAGATCACGCTAACTGGCAAAAGCGAACCTCTGATTTCTTGATTCAAGGCGTACCAAGGAGTAGGGCTCTTCCACATAATATGATCCCAGTGGGGATTATCAACATCAGAAGTACCCCCAGGAGCGATCCAGGGACCGCTTCTGCCCCCCTTCTTCATCAGCAACCTGCTACACAAAATTGCACCATCTAGCCTCCTCTTTGCTGACGACTTTCAGATGTGGAGGGCAGTTGACAAAGAAGCCTCCTACACAGCGCTCCAAAATGGCCTGAAGCTATTGGAGCCGAGGTCGTTGGGAAACGACTTGAGCTTCAACCTGAAGAATTGCAGTTATGCATATCGGTACCTAAGAAGCACGGCCAAATTCCAATACAAGTCGGGGAACCGTGCTATCACTAAGGCATCGACTTATGAAGATTGAAGCCTAGCTTGTTGGACGCCCTGACCACCAGCTCTAACTACAAAGAAACGGAAGACAGAGCGAACGCCACCGTAAACTCTCAGGGTAGACAGCTTGAGACCCCCACCCCCTAACTGCTTCTCCCGGTTCCCAAATCCTACGCACACGAGCACCAGTAGGTCTTCAGTGCGGCAACACCTTTAAGACACTAGAAAGTATCCAGTCTCCCTGGGAGAATACAAAGGCCCGGAATAAAGTCAGTTCTAGGGGTAAGGACGGAAGGCTGAAACGTTGAAGTCTATTTAATTTAGGCTATCACGTAAATAGGCGTGACCTTACTATGGCCTGTTAGATCACCCAAACAGCAAGTGAATCAAACGAACCTTACCTGAAACGCAGTGGTTATCAAAGTGAGCTCTGCAGGATAGCACAACAGAGGGCTAACACCAGGTTCGGGTTTGTATTTTCTCCCTAAGGGTATGCACTTTGTAGAAAGCCTTACCACGGTGTGCAGTTACATCACCCTCAGTAGACCCACTCGGAAGGCGGCCAGACAGTTACGTAACTTAATGTAGCTTATCACAGATGCACCCAAGAGATTACTGACTTCACTAGCCCACCACTACTTCCTTCCTGTTCACCACTCATCATCTCTCTTGTTGAATTAATTACATTAGCTACTGACCTTTCTCTAGTAAGTAGGCCCATACTGTCTACTTTTGCCTTCTAGATAAGTTCAATGTGCCTTTGCCCCCCCCGCAGTTTGCCATTTCTATTCAGTCACCTACTACGAAGTACAAATTAGGCTGAGAACGCACCCAGAGGTGCTCAACAAAGTCTGTTCGAGGACTTAGGTCTAAAACATACGAAGAACGACTGGTTGCGCTGGATCTGTATCCTCTGGAATACAGAAGGCTAAAAGGAGGCTTGATAATGACTCACAACATTCTGAGTACGCCTGGACACCCACTTCGTCACCTGTTAAATCTTAGCTGTAGCGCGAATCTTAGGGGACACACAGAAACTAAGTCCGGAACATAGAAGGTCAGATGTCAAGCACAACTTCTATTCCTTAAGAGTTATTAAACCCTGGAACGCCGTAACTACAGACATGATCCAGGATACTGCCTCCGAATCCTTTCAACACTGACTAGATACTTACTTGATATATGGCTGGAATCTGTCCAGAACTAATCGAATTTTCACATTTTAACCATCACTTTTTTCTTTTTCTTTACTTGTACAAAGGTTGACAACCACAAGAAGTAGTGATCCACGAATTTTAGACATGGAACCCAGTCAAGTGAAAGCTTCCTCTTTTCCGTTAAGAAACATTCTAAACCATCAGACAGGAGCAACGAAAGACCCTTCAAAAAATCCTAATCTATGAACTACAATTACCAGTCCTTCAAAAGTGTTAATCTCACTGGAGCTAAAAGCAGCCCAGGAGAAGAGGTATCCTTAATCGCTGCAGAAGCGAATCAAACAATCATAACAAGCTCAAAGAACTGAGCTTTTTCAAGTACGTAGTATTTGTCCAATATTCGCCTTGTTTCAAGTTAAGGTCAGAGTGTGTAACCTTGAGTCCGTTTGAAGATATGGAGTCTCAGGAGGACGGTGGTGCGCAGGAATCGACGAATACAGATACCAGAGCCTATTTAGACCGTACTGTTGTCCCAGTGTTATTGAAAGGCCTAAACATGATAGCTAAAGAAAGGTAGTCATCCAGTTTTGTGGATTTTACTGTTGTTTCAGACCACCAAACCCTATTGAGGCGCTTGCAACATTTTTGATGCAGCATAAAGAAGAAACAGAGAACGGGTAAAATAACTCATGAATTTTTGAATACGAACAGAATGTAAAGTTCGAACTATGTTGACTGATGTGTATCGCATTACTCTTGCTACAGTTATAAACCTTTGTACATTTGATGGGTATATATTTCATGGTTATCTGTCTAAACTTTTAAGCAACTTCTAGGTAAATGGAGAAATTTTAATTTTGTCGCGTTAATATTGTGTTTTGGTGTCTTTTAACCCATCTGTATCACCAGTAGACTTCTGAAAAGAAAGTCTTTAAAAAGACCGAGCCTCAAGCGAGAGCTCAAAATCTGCTGGTTACCTCCTCTCTTCTATTACTGTTGGGTTACGTGGACATGCCAGACAAATAGAAAATCAATAGGTTGCAAACCCTTCAAAATTAATGCTTTGCTCGAGATAAATAGTATGGTGAAACTGCACTTAGCTGGTGCGTGAGGATTATGAATAGACATCTCCTAGTCTCATGATCCTTCTTAGTCCTTACAGATCTATTCAGTCGGGGACAGGCGGGTGTTTATTGGTATCCAGTAGAGAAGCGCAATTTCTGCCCTACAGCTCGCTGCTATTCATACGCAAGGGAGTCCATGATAGCTAGCCACTGGGTTTCTGGATACTCTAGGTGAGTTTCGAAGACTCATCACACTGGTCACTTGAGGTCAATTTGATTACCACACTCGGGTCCTTTATATGTATCTCAGAGACAGCATACATCCATGGCTAGAGATTTCAGACCTAGTGAGGGATGCCTGGTGTCCGATTTGGTTTGTAGTTCGGATGTTGAGAGCTACATGAAATCGATGGCGGGGTCTTAGAGTGGTAGCATTGAGCTTTCGATGGTTTTGATCTTTTGCAATGGTTACAGAATGAGAGGTTGGTGAGGGTGTAAGAGGCCTCATATTAGTATCATGAGATGAAGGCAAAGCAGGAGACAGTTTCAGAGGATGGATTATATTTGATTGGGTACTACTGGGAGGGTGTGGGCAGCTGACACTTCTCAGATGCCCACACCATGGGAGGTTAGTTCTTCTTGAAGTTTCCATATAGGAAGGGATCGTGCATGACCGCGGTGTCCAAGTGATATCTGCTTGAGGCCAGTCACACACTACTTTTTGGCAAGTTTAAGATTTTAGTTTTTCGCCTTTGAATCCCGCTACGAATCTCCACCGTAGGTATCGGGGTGCCACTAGAGAAGGGTATTAATGTGCTATTTTCTGGATTGATCTTCCCTAAACCCCTCTTCTCCCCATAAAGAAGGCAGTATCAGCGTTGTACTGCTGGTCATCCAAGGGAAACACGTTGTTGCCATCACACCCCTGTCCAGTCAGCAGTATAACTTCGGCCTCAAACCCCCATCATAGCGTAGCAGTTTACACCATAATGGTAACGGCTTTTTATCTAACCACTATTTAACACACCTTCTTGGCATGGTAGGACCCCGACGGAAGAAGTATCCCACCAGCGTAGCTCGTTAGGTTGTGGTAGTGTGCAAGCCGGACCACCACGTCAAGGTAGTATCTGTCAGTCGGGTATCAGGCATCCACACCATTTAGCACGTTGTTATTTTTGTCGCTCACGATCCTCAAGTCGTTTAGCTCACGAATCCTAATTTGAATATTTCCAATATGATAATTAGAACGCAGAGTTTGAAGCGAATACGTATTTGCGGTGGATTCTTGTCAGACTTAACAACTAAATTTACAAATTACTCAGCATAGTCGTTTGATACTTACGTGGTTAAATTAACCCTTGTATATGAATTTGAAGATAACAATAAACAACAAACAAAATCTTGGGAAGTTTATGTATTCTCAGTAGTCAATCCTTATAGGTGTATGAGTGGATTGTGTGTGCAGGGATAGGAAATAAAATTATTGTAGCATAAAGATTAGATGATAACTTGTCAGAATTTCTGGTCATTTATGAAAGCGACGGTGAAAAATAAAATGTTAGTGATAGAAGTACACGTAGAGATAACATTTACATTTATTAGGGTGACCGGGAGGGAAATTATTGTGGTTGTATCTTGACTATGGGAGGGGAAGGGAACGAACAAACATCTAAATACATAAATCAGGTTTGAGAACTTTAGTTGCTATGCTTAGCAATCGGAGGCTCTGAAACTTAGAGAATTGTGATGGCACTTTGTAAATATTAGTAAACACTTAGGTCTTATCAGTCTTATGCTCAATATCTACTAGGTGGACGTGTTGAGCTTTTGATGGATTTCACTGTTCCTATGTGTAACCATGTTGATCGATGATGGGCTTGCTGAGTCGTTCTACCTATGCAACTATCTCCACAGGAGCAGTTAAATTTATAAATGGACATAAAGTTGGCCTGGTTTGATAGCCTATCCTTCAACTGCGTTGGCACCAAACAGCGAGTAGTAAATTTCAAACATAGTGTCAGGATGGAGGACGTTTTCTGTCAGATTTCTGAGTTTCAGTGCCAGTATCACGAATCGTAGTAAGTTGACATGATACGACAAATATACTATTTCTACCTGGCTACCAAATTATGTTCCTTCTTGAAAGTATCCTGCAAGTAGGTAGAATTAGTGGCTGCTTTCTCATTTGTCCAGATTGTGTGACAACCACTAAAGTTCGAAAGCATGTCTCATGTGATTGGCTTTCTTACAGTTTTATGTATTAATTATGTGGATATGCGCGGCAGTGATACGAAAAAAGTAGTTCTTCTGATTTGTGAAAAAACTGGATTTTGCAGGAACAGATGACAAGGAATAAATCTGTTAAGTTTACCCTCAAATTTTCAGATAGAAGCCGAGTAAGTGGCTACTTTTCCATCTAATTTGATAACAAAGGAATCATCTTTTAAAACGCCACATTAAGGGAAGAATGGTATTCTGCTGTGGTATCAACAAAATTGGATCTGATTCGGGAACTAGCAGAGCGCGGTAATTCGCTAATCACTTCTTAACAGCACTCAGAAACCGGTTAGCCACTAAAACGTCATCAATACCAACATAGGACGAAGCATTACAAACAAACCCACCTTAGCCGAAAATATTGTCTAATCGCATAATTGGTACTCATTATGAGCATAATAATTAGCGGCCAATGAAAATTCGGTGGAATCTCAACTGATTTAAAAAGTTATTGTAAAATTACTTGGGTTTCATTCAGAACCGTGATAACTCAGAATAGTTTAGAAAACAAACTTGTCATCGGTCAAGTAAACTTTTATGGTTATTTAGATCAATCTAATAAGTCGTTATGTATTCATTTTTTCGTCACCATTCTCCTAAAACACCAAGTGACTCAGGAATAAGTGGTGGTGTTCTCTCAAATTGCTCTTCATAAACGTTCGTTAGAATTCAACATTTACAGCTGACACTAATATACCCAACTCGAAATAAATTCACATACAAAAGACTGGATAACCGCAGGAAAACTAAAAGCTAGCAAGAACTATGGCTTTACTCCTCTGGTTAACACCATTTTTAAAGTGTGCTAAAATACTTCAATAAATAACTGTATCAAATGATGTCAACTTCCATATTTTGTTACATGTGTATGTGGTTCATTGGTTTCCAGTTGAATAGTTAGGAGAACTCCGAATAAAATAGCTGAACTGATTCGTAAATCAGGGGTTTGACAAATTAGTGCAGTGACCATTCAGAAAGAAAACCTGTCCTGAAGCTCATACGTAAATACCAAAGTGAAACTGAAAATACTGTATTTTTCAGTATGTTAACCAAAACTATCTACTAATATTTATTTTAATAATGGCTTATTGTTGATACTGTTGATCAATAGCCACACATGTAAGTCCACACAACACCTGAGTTTTGAAGGAAACCAATTCCATTCATATGGCTTAAGATGCAAATAAGGCAAACAATGTCACAAAAGATAAGTATCTCTGATTTAATCAGTCAGTCTTCTCAATACACACGGAACTCACCTCCACCCTTCCGAGCATATATTTTTAGTAGTAACTTTATAGGTTGCAAGAAGTACCTTATTGATTTAATGCTATTACTGAAACTTCATAATTCTAAGTGCAACTGATTCTTGATTGATACTTATTGCGAAAAAACTGACAAAGAACATCGGCTGATTATAGTCATCTTAGTCCAAAAAGCTTCTTGCACTGTCACGTAAGTTAGCAGCTGTACGCACTAGGTTACAGAATGTTCACTGTTATTTAATGATACTATTTGTTTCTTATGACAGTGCACCGCAACCTCACTTCGGACAAAACAACCTAAGATTTTGTTTAGTTCTCTAATTGGGTACTTTTAATAATAGTACTTTTTTAAAACCCCTTAATGCCTTACAAATCTTGAATGAAAGCAAGATGTTGAGTAGTCTAATCCTGAGTTGAACAGGCAGATAGGTTCTAAACACATCCAGTCAAGAAGGCTGAAAAGAGGGAAGCCAGCTGGCACCGAAGAGCAAGTACCAGAAGTAAAAAAGCACAGTTGTAGAGTATTATTGATTAGGCTAGTTAAAGCACTATCTAGCGTATGGGAATCAGATATGATACTCTCTGCCCGACCGCAATTACTGATTGACCCAGTCTTCAGGAAAGGTGGGAAGTCCTCTTGTGACTAACTTTGGAGTTTCAGCATGATGAAGTGTCCAAGATTCTTGTTTCTATAATCATTAGACACCTAAGTAAACCTCAGAAAGAGAAAACCAACCAGATTCCAGAACGGTTCGTGGGTGTATTGACAAAATATTCGCGTTGTGCCAGTTTCTGGAACACAAGCACACTTGCTGGCGCCCGGCGATAGCTGTATCTCTTGACCAAAAGGATAAGTTAAACTCCATCGATCAAAGAGTTAGCTAAGGGTTAATTTGAACGCGACAACAATGCTCATCCTGAGGAAACCTGGCGTGATATTAGGTCAATTGTAAAAACACCAGTAAAGACGGTTGGTTATCTAACTTGTCAGGGAACTGACTAGACTGTTTCATAAGGTATGACAAATTGAGAGTGTTGTATCACTAGAGTAAAGCCATCGTTGTGACCATCTTTA